ACGCTTCAGCTGCACTCATAGAACCTTTAACTGAGGTCGTGTGTCAACAGTGACATTCAGCAGCGTTCTTCACAGAACCCATCACATGTCCGCTTTGTTAGGAACCCTGATGAAAGTTGCTCCTAATAAACTGCACTCAGGTCACATGTTTGGTTTTACATTCAGAAATGAACACAGAAACATAAAAACTACAGCGGAGAAGAATGAACTGAAGAAACATGTTTTTGTAGTTTATAACTTTAGTTCTAAATTAGTCCATTTAGTTCTATAATTCATTCTCGTAGCTTAATCGTAGAGACTGGACTTGCTCGAGTTTCTTGAAGATGTTTGAGTTTCCTGAAGCAAGTCCAGCTCCAACGATTAAACCACAACCTAGAGGACTGAGAACCTCCTCACATCTCCATCATTAATGAGCTCAGCCTTAATGCTGATGAAACTTAAACTTGTATTTTATATATTCTTGTCGGGTTTTGACCTTTAATCTTGTTTAATCCTGTTTCTCTGCTGAAACATGTTGGCTGTGAGGATCAGGGTCGCTGTCTTACCACCACCATCTGCTCTTCATCCTCTTCTTCCCTCCAGCTCCCCGACTCAGATCTACATCAGACAGAAAACAGACATGTCCGTTTGTCTCATCAGATTCTGAACAAACGTTTTTATTTCCAGAGTTTTCCGTGTTGAGTCCAGCTGCTCTTTAGTTCGTGTTCAGTTATAAAAACCGCATGTAATCGTATTTAATGAAGGTAAATCAGACATAAACTGAAGACTTAGCTGCTGGTAAAGCACAACATCTGATGTTAAAGACAGAATCACTTTGATTGAAAATATCCTGACAGCATTTAAATAGGACAAACTGCTCAGAACCCACTGATGAGCGACAGAAACCCTCCAACCAGTAGCTCAGGTGTTCCTCCAACTCGGCATGTGTGAAAGTTGATGTTGTTTAACTTCAGGACAGCTCGCTGGTCTGTGAGTCTTTAGATGTCTAATTGAAGCTGACTGTGTTTTCAGACGGAGCAGCTGGAAACAGTTTTACAGATGAGTTGATTTTTTGAACTGATCAGATTCAATCAGTTCAAAATGAATCAAAAATCACAGAAAACAGAAAAATCACTGCTTGAAGCTTTGGAAGCAACACCATCACATCCTGCTGCATCATAACGGACGTCTGTCACATCAGCATGTCAACATCAGCTCTGGTGCTTTCTAATCATTCAAACTAAAAGGTCTCATTTTTATTTCACATCACAATTTCTCAAGTTCACTTCATCTAACTCAGTTAAACCAGTTTAACCAGTTCACTTCATCTGTAGAGCAGCAGGAGAACTGGCTTTTCCAGTCTGAAGGAACCTAAACCACTGGTTTAACTGGTTTAACTGGACAAACCGGAGGATCGGTGAGTTTCGGAGCGACTCACCTCTGCAGCTCCATCTAAGAAGAAGAAGAAACGCTGAGAGATGGATGATGTTCTGAGTTCTGTGATCAACACGCAACAACTCACTTCACCTTCAGCATCCTCCTAATATAGACACACAACACTGTAACACACACACACACACACACACACACACACACACACAGTGTTTGTGTGTTTTGACCTCGCAGCTTGAACTTACAGGAGACGACAGCTGACCCCGTCTGACCTCCAGAAACCAAAGAAGAAGAAGTTTTACTGGAGGTGATAAACAGCACTGACAGCAGGACTGCAGTATTATATATGCAGTATGATCCTGTGTTGCTCATGTTCATGTTCAGCACAGTAAAGACACGGCAGCCAAAGTCACAGAGTCACAGTGTTTCATTTTATGTCAGGAAGCAGCGTCTACTGGCATTCAGAGTCGTCGCATAGACTGTGCAACACCACATGATACCAAGGCGCCTTGAGATACCAGGGGGGGCTCGCGATACCAGGGGGGCTCGCGATACCAGGGGGGCTCACGATACCAGGGGGCCTTGAGATACCAGGGGGCCTTCGATACCAGGGGGGCTCGCGATAACAGGGGGGCCTCGCGATACCAGGTGGCCTTGAGATACCAGGGGGGCTTACAATACCAGGGGGGCTTGCAATACCAGGGGGCCTTGAGATACCAGGGGGGCTCGTGATACTCGAGGGCCCTGCGATACCAGGGGACCTTGAGATACCAGGGGGGCTCGCGATACCAGGGGGCCTTGAGATACCAGGGGGGCTCGCGATACTCGAGGGCCCTGCGATACCAGGGGGGCTCACGATACTAGAGGGCCCTGCGATACCAGGGGGCCTTGAGATACCAGGGGGGCTCACGATA